AGTCCTAACTACTTGGGAGGCTGAAGTGAGAGGATCCCTTGGGCCCAGGAGTCCAAGGTTCTAGTGAGCTATGATTGTGCCACTGCACTCCAGCCCGGGCAACAGAGAAAGACTTATTTAAAATGCTCCACCCCATAGAAATGGAGCCCCAAATGCTTTTAGCCCTATTTCCGGTCTGTATTAGCTGACCTCCCCTTTAGAAGAGGGGCCAGGGGTGGGGAAAGCCAATGGAGTCTCCATTTCCTAGGGGTCTGATTGTCCAAACTTCAACCATGAATATTAGGATTTTTGCCCTATCAGTTTACCACCTGCACTATAATTTACTTTATATTTTTCTTTAAATTGGTTCACTGTTTACTTAATAAACATATTTTAAAAGGAATTTTTTGTATTACTTCTGTAAATGGAAAACCAGTATCACTTGCCATAAATAGAAGGTAGAATATGAAAATAAATACAACGTAAACAAAACTGCTAAGTTTTAAGTATTGTTCCCTGCCAGAGGCATTGACTCAAAACCCTGCTTTTTGTTAAAAGGAAAGGGGATGGATGGATGGATCAGCAATTCAGAAAAGTGTTAGATATTCTAGCACCAAACTGAGACCTTCCCCTGGAAGTGCTGAGGAAGAGAGAGCCCTGCACAGGGGACAGTGATCCTGTGTTGTTTACTGCTGGCCAGGAACCTCCCAAGTTCACCCCCACACCGGGAAACCTCTGCTCTTCCTGCTTAGGAGGGCTGAGGAGCACTTGGAGCCTCCCCTCCAATCCCTTGGATGCTGGAAGTTGAAGGAGCTGCTAGGAGTGAGAAGCCCCCAGACAGAGGGATTAAGAACCCAGCCCAGCCTCTCCCCACAGGTGTGCTCATCCAGCCTGAGTCCTGAGCACCTTCTCTGAGCCGGGTGCTGGGTGGGGGACCTGGTCCTGCCCTCAAAGAGCTCACAGTCTCTCTAGTGGCAGGCGTTGGGGCATGGAGGCAGGCGTGAGATAAGATGAGGACACAAAACTGATACCAGGTAGAGATCAAGACGCCCAGCCTATCTGTGTCACTCAGGAGCTGGGTGACTATGTCACTTCTCATTGTCACCATCAGCTGCCAGGATGGGGTTGTGAGGACTCACAGTGAGTGAGCAGTCTACCAGGGAAACGAGAGATGCAGGTCAATGCCTCCATGCCAAGTGCTCAGGAGAGGCAGTACAGTATGGAAGGGACTATAGGGGACAAGGCCTCTGGCTCTCCATCTGGCTCTGTCACCCACTCACTTGGAGACTTCATCTGTGCAACAAGAGAACTAAAAGTTGAACAAGATGTTCTGTTGGGACTTTTTTAGCTTTTGACATTTGAGGACGCTATACGGTGAAAGATGGACAGATGGATGGATGGATGGGTGGGTTTCCCTCCACCCTCAGAAGGTTCACTGAAAAATCAACTCAAAATAAAGCAGATTAATAGGAGAAAATCTTCCTTATTTTAACATGCATGTTATTTCTTTAAACATATTGTTTTATGAGCCCCATCGATGGGTGGATGGATGGATGGAAGAATGGGATGGATGTGTGGACGAGTGAATGGGGAGATAAATAAATTTGTGGATACGTGATAGATGCCTGTGAACTTCCTGAGGCAGAGTCCAACTTGCTAGCCCAGAGTCATCTTTATATTTCTAGACCCAGACCACAGCTTAAAACATAATAAGAGGCTGGGCGTGGTGGCTCACATCTATAATCCTAGCACTCTGTGAGGCCGAGGCAGGAGGATCGTTTGAGCTCAGGAGTTCAAGACCAGCCTGAGCAAGAGCGAGACTCTGTCTCTACTAAAAATAGAAAAAATTAGTCAGGCATGGTGGTACATGCCTGTAGTCCCAGCTACTTGGGAGGCTGAGGCAGAAGGAATGCTTGAGCCCAGGAGTTTGAGGTTGCTGTGAGCTAGGTTGATACCACGGCACTCTAGCCCAGGCAACAGAGTGAGACTCTGTCTCAAAA